CATGTGTATTATAACATAATATCATAACATAACATCACGCCTTTTATCCCCGAAGGGGTAGGCAGAGGTGCACACAGAAGTAACACCCACTTTTCACTATTTATGTAATGAGTCCCATATAATAGGGGGTGAGCCTATTGCCATATACCGGGCACGATTCCAGGCTCCCTGCTACTACTGAGAATTTTTTAAAAACCCAGTAATACTTTGCCCGATCCGGGAAGCGAACCCGAGAACCCTTGCCCCGGCAGTCGCACTTGCGACAACTCGGACGGTTTGAGCATTAATCACCACGTTTGCTCAATGCGGGTTGGTGATTTCAAACTTGTAATTAGAAATTATAAGCCCAGGTTTCCTCACGATGTTTTATGTTTTCCTTTACCATTTGTCAGTGGTATCTGAATAATCTTAGAAAGTACATATAAATCGGAAAAAATCTAATTAGTACTTGCCGTTGGTAGGTTTCGAACCCCCACCTCATCCTCATTGTTGCTCCTTTCACTCGCCGTATACCTACTCGTATCTGCATCACCCTAAGGTGAGACTGGTAGACAATGCCGTGGGCATCCAGTCCACCTTGTGTACAATTGTGCATAAAATGTTAAAAATAAAAGGAAAGTAAGCTTTTGGGCACAACATTTTATATTATCTTGCGCCATTTATTGCCACCATCAACGATAGGTTAGAGGTTTTCTTAGCTTTTTCCTTATAACAAATAATTACTTAATTTCAGCTAAAAGGAAAATCTGCTATAAAAAATAATAAATGATTCAACACTTACAATAAATGATTAACCGATAAAAATATTAGTCATGAAAAATATCTACGATTGATTGCTTATAGCTAAAACTGGACACCGCATATAGATAAGATTAGGTCTATATTGATATTGGTCAAGGTATCCCTACCGACTGTTGTCCGGTGTCTTCCACGCCAAGTCCGGTACTATTGTTTATAACGCCCTTGTAAAACCTCTATCTAATAATGTAATAGAAGTATGAGGAACAGCAGCTAGGACCAACATTGAAACGCTACAAATAGCAAAAAATTAATTAATTAATATAACCACTATTCTATTATGATTACACCCACAAAAAATATATACATTAACAGCCTGTAAATGTTGCTGAGCAAGGCCTCTACTCGCACAGAGAAAGTATGAGCGTATTTTAGTGTATACACCACGCTTGCTCAATGGGGCTCAATTGGATTGGTGATTCTAAACTTACAATTAGAATTTATAAGCCCAAGTTTCCTTACAATGTTTTCCTTCACCATTTCTCAGTTGTGTCTAAATATTGTTAGAAAGCACATATAACTCGGAAAAAGCCACATAGTTACTTGGCGTTGGTGGGTTTCGAACCCACTTTCGCCGACGCCAGCTTCGCATGCATGAGGGTGCCCTCATGCATGAGAATGGCGTCTTAAACCTCCGAGTCATGGGCCGATTGTTTTTTTTTTATATATTTATGGTCTAATGACCTATAAGCGACTACATTTAATAGATAAAACGCGCTTCTTGCTCAATTTTCACGTGGTGAAATTTGAGCCAAGCCAAGCCAAGTTGAGTTGAGTTGAGTCCAAAATACTCATAATAATGTATTGCTATGCTCTGGGGCCAAAGTTACTTATTTTACAAAAAGCTGTCAGTAACATAAATTGTAGCAAATTGTGAGGTTTTCTCGTAAAATATAAACAGGAACACAGGAAAAGAGATATTGTAAAAAAAACTTTTTATGGCTGCTATTTGGCTATGGCGGCGCGAGCGGCTCTCGTAAGGAGGTATACCTCTAATATAGAAATCGAAAAGATTACATCAAAATTTATTAAATTGCCGATTTTCAAAACTCCCGAAAAACTTTCCTGGTGACCCTCATATTCTTCTATCATTAATGTTCAGACTAATATTATAAAAAAACTTATTAGCTTCATCTATAATATTTTTTCCAAAAATACCACTGCATTATCATGCATTATCCGTATTATCCGGACAATCCGAAGAGTAAAACTTTGATATCCATGGGTACTATTCGGATAGCAATACGAACAATTGATGCCAACGTAGCGACCGGCTTGGTTTTTATGGAGGCTATGACCAAAAACTTCTTAGTCATTGTAACCACTTTTTGCAAACAGCAATTCATATACTTGATTTTAAAATGCCTGCTTTAATAACATTAAATTTCACATCTACATGGGCCCTACATAAAAATCAAAAATGAAAATGTTTAAAGCTGTGGGACAGTTCAATTTTGTTAGGGTCATTTTTTATGAAAAACACGCACAGATCGACAGAGAAAACAATTCTGAGAAAAAAGATTTTAAGTATTATTATTTATATCAGAATGGTTCATAAGACTTTTCTATCCAAAGGTTGATTGATGTGTAAACAGATAATTACAGACGCATGTATAGCAATAGAAGGGGTTAGCTGTTCTAACTTGACAGGATCAATTGCTAGTTAGAGAAGCAATATAGCGGTTTCCTGCTAGAAGCGGTGCAGGAACACCGTGGTCTATAAGGATTCCCAACATGATATTAAAAAAGATTACTTTCAGAATTTCATTTATTAATAATATTATTTAAAATTACAAAAAAATATATTTATAATTGGTATATTTTGGCTTTGATTTAGTTAAAGATTTTGAAATATTGGATGATTACGAACATGAGTGCTACAGAAGTTCCGAGTTGTGACGTGGATGCCGCTCCCGGAGCAGGTGTAGTAGTTGTAGAAGAAGCAGGTGTAGACGAAGAGGGTGTAGGAGAGAGAACTTCATTCACCCATGATGCGAATGGGAAGACTTGAGTATACACTTCTGGGTCGGCTACATTAACCCCACAGTTGTTGCTTCTAGTGAGCAAACCCTCGAGAACCGGAGCGGTATG